TTGGGGGGGGGGGGGGACTCCGAACAACATGTGTAATGATCGCGAAACAGGCGGGAGTTCTTACTCGCCAATCATGTCCCAGTTAAACCTTCATGAACTTAACTCTGTATTTCACAAAACCCATTGCAAGAAATATTCGCGTAGTATGATAGTGAGTTGATGTTCAGTTAAAATGAACAGGAGGGCATCACATCCATGCATGTCGTGGTAGGTTAAGCGATCAAGTAGGAGAACACGGCAATAAATTAATGGAATAGAACCAACATGTATGCGCCAATTCGAAAAGCGAAAGGCAGGTTGGAACAGATAGGTTCTAAGATAATGGGACGACCAAGGAATGTTTGCAAGTGCAAGTATTGTTGAAGAATAGGCAACTTTTGCAAAATAGCTTTAGTGGAATCCTATTCGGCCATCATTTCCCAGTGCATTGGTGCAGGCTTAGTTTTTTGTCGAGGGTCGCTTACCCTGTTAAATCTCGTTTGGATAATGGTTATAAACGGATAAGGGTTGCTTAGGTGCTTTGTGTGTTGGGTTGTGTTACGGATCTGTGTGTTGGCTTTGGGGTGTGCTTTGTGTAGTGCGGGGGTAGATTTAGTCTAAATGGTGTAAACGCATGTGGGGGGGGGGGGTACAAGATGAGTGGTTTGGGGTCAGCCTATACTTGCTGCTTGCAGGCAGCTGCAGATGGATCGAAGGAAAGCTGCAGAGGCCCGTGCGCTCCTTCACTCTCTTTGCAGGTCGAGATATCTCACTCGCATGACCATGGGTTAATGTTCGGCCGTATCACCACATCGCTCTTGTTCTTTGAGCTCCGTTTCATGCACCCTTGGACGCTTCTTCTGCAGGCCATCACAGCTGCTGAAGACGCTGCCGCTGCCTCCTGCATGCACAACGCCTTTTCCGGATGTAGGATTGAGGGAAATTGGATGTACTTCGGAGTCACAACCTCTCGCCGAAGCTGCAGTGGGCAGAGATGCGTCTAGGGGTTGCGTCAACACATGAATATGGCCTCCAAGCGATTAGTTGGCCGACAGGATGCTATGTTTCGAAAAGGCAGCCAGGGTGCACACTGTGTTTCTCTAGCAATCCAGCCAATCTATTGCACAGCTTGCAACACTCTCAAGTGCTCCCAGCGAGAGCCTGGAATAGAGAAACAAGTTTCTGCGGCAAGCAGCGGCTCCTTCACCAGCTGTTGTATTCACTGACAAGCTGTGTGTTGCCTTCAGCTGAAGCTCAGGCATATATCAATCTGAATGACAAGATATTTGGAGGGGCTAAGATTGCAAAATGTTGTTTGTTTGACGGTGGCGTGGCCATCGAAGACCGGGTCAACTTTCGTTGCTGTCATCTTAGAACAGAAGCCAACGAGTTGAGCAATTATGCACTTCTTGCACCTGAGAATGCCAAGATCTCAGGAGACTTCAAGCAGCGCAGCATCTGCTCTTCGAGCGTTGCAGCTCAAAGCAGGCCTTGCGCGGCTTGGTGGCAGCCCTGCTTGGAGGTTCGCGGGTACTTATCAGTGGGGTTATAAGTCCCCTAATATGGGTTATAAGTATAGTTACCCTACTTATAACCCTATTTATAACTACCCATGAAACTCCAAGTGTTCACTGACCACGAGGCGAGAAAGGCAGCGCCATTGTCTTCGCGACATGGAGGTAACTGCTAACAATGGCAACTGTACGGTAATTCTAGTGGAGCCTGCAAAGACATTCAGAGGCAAAGGTCCTTCCGCAATCGGGCCACTAGCAGAGACGCTCTGATACACAGTCTTTCGGTTACTAGTAGCTTCCTGGGGATCTACAGCAGAGAGCCCCAGCATCCTCGACATATGTACATGGATGTACCATGAAGCCGCCCAGCTCAATGCTCAGGCCGCGGCTTGATTTCTGCGGCCTTCTTCGTCTTTGGATGGCCGAGCAGGGCAGCTCGCCGAGCTGGGGCAGGGCTCGGGGGCAGCACAGATACTCCTGAGATCTCCTGAGATTCAGGTGGGGAGATTCTATGCAAGCATGGGGTCGACGAGGACAAGGTGCTGGGGCTCCTTGGAAGCATCTTTCGACTGCAGCATAGTCTCTTCCCTACGACCTTGAGATTCAATTAAAGAAGATCCGGCTTCTGCGATCGTTTTTCCAGTCAGCACCAAGGCTCGTGGCCGACTCCCTGGTGCTGCAGGCCGGAGGAAGCCTCGTTCGAGTGACGAGTGATGGTGGTTACCAGATGGGGGTTTCCGAAAATAGGGGACCCTCATATAGTACCCTAATTAATAGGATCCCTATTATAAGGACCCCAAAATAAGGTACCCTAATTTTCTGAAACTCCCAGATGCTACCCTCATCAACAGGACAGGACTAGAGCGATGCCTGGGTCGACCTCTAGTGTTGAAGAATGAAGACATGCGGAGAGGTCCGTGCAGCTCAGTGTGCCTGCGCTTTGCGGGCCCTGCGTGCAGAGGCTCCTCGGCTCTTCACCATCCAAGACAACTCCGGAGAATGTACCTTAACCTACCATAGCCCACTTTCTTGTAGGTTCTTATTATAAACCCTAATATGGGGTTGATAGGGACCATACAAAAAATAGCTTCTGGTAGGTTAAGGTAGTAGAAGAATTCTTGCATCATGTCATTGTTTGCCCCGAAAGCCAAGATCAGCGCAAACTAGCTTTGCAAGGGGGTGGCATCATGCTCGATGGCACAGCTGTACAGCGAAGCTCCAGGAGCAGACCAACTAGTTCATCTATCGTAACACATTGGTCGACCTCCTCATATTCCACTGGCGCAGTGGTCAACTGCACGGTGACCATGGGCTGTGCAATTATTCTTCACAACTTCCTGCCGTGCCCTTTCCCGTTTCCACGGTACCCATTTAGCATGCCACTAGCGCATCGCCGGCTGGAGCAGCAGAAGGAACAGCAAAACCAGGGAATAGCGGAAGACGAAACGCAACAACGACATGGATTTCTGTTGATGGCTCTGTTTGACGCCTCGTTTTTTTTGCCGGCAGGTCATCCCGCGGTCTGATCGTGACGTCCTTTCCCCCATCGCGCATGTTGTGCTCGTAGCATGGTTGTCTTTCCTTTTTTGTATTCCGGTCCTTGCAGCATAGTCTGCTGTGTCAGATGACTGGACATGAGCTGGGTCTATGTTTTCTGCTTGTCATGTTCTGACTAGGGCATTCTATGCATACTTACCACCGTTATCGATCATTACAGCAGTTGCCGAAGGTGTCTGATAAATTGACGAGTGTGCAGTGCATGAAGCTTGGTTCGTAGTTACGGCATTGCTAATACAGCGATCGGCCTTTTTGGGCCTTTCTCAGTCGCAAGACTGCCGGCCCCCGCGAGCTCGCAGATGATGGACAAAGTCTCCAACGTTGTCTGATTGTCTTATCCCTACCATTACATGATTGTTCCTATTCTTCTTTGATTGCTATTCTGATTCTTCTTCTTGGCTCTGAGGATGGTCGGTCTGCGGAGCTGAAGACCAAAGCGGCAGCAGACGAAGTCGCCAAGGCGCCTTCCCTGGAGCTGCGGAGCTCACGTTGAAGTCGTGCATACCTTAACCTACCAGACCCTACTTTTTTGTAGGGTCCCTATAAATCCCATATAAGGGTTTATAATAAGAACCCACAAAAAAGTGGATTATGGTAGGTTAAGGTATACAGCAGTGGCAAATACTGGCGAGCACGGATCGGAAGCATCGATCAGAGTTCCCGTTTTCCACCAAACCTCATGCAAAAGCTCAGAGGATAGAAGAGACGCATGAAAATACTAGCACCATCACGGGCGATGTCTGCAGTCTTATCGACTTAGTTGACAGTAGCATCTGTGGATAAAGAGCAAGATCGCGACATGGACAAAGGCGTTCCTCAGGCTCCGGCTGGAGCCCTGAACCCAGCAACCCTAAACTCCTTATGTGCCAAACCCATCCTCCAAAGAATTTGAGAGACTTGAACCGGATCGCAGACTCATGCACTGGTTTGCTCAGCGATTGACTACACTGGTCAGGAGCGGCATTACCTGGCGCCGAATCCATGCGGAGTGGGTTTCGTTCTTGGTGCGCGCCCCGCGCAGAGTGCATTCAGAGGTCGCAGTTATGAGCCGAGTCTTCCGCAAGAGAGATGTGAAATGCGAATGATTGGGGTTCAGTACTGCACAGGCTGGCCATTCCTTTTGCAGTTGCTGTCAGATACCCATGCCCAGCAACATAGCATGTCTCCGAGTTATGGGCCTTTGTGTCACCAATGATGGAAGAGCAGGGGGGGGCAAGCCAGTAAGCCCACACGCTGCATTCAGTTTAGGCTTGTCGTCGACTCCAGTCCGCAGAATTAACACGGCATGCATCCTTGACCCCTCATGTACAAATATTGTGCCCCAGCCCGACCGCCAACAAGATGTGGAAGTGCCCTGCACAGATCCACGTCTGCTGGCTGTCGAGTTCCTCTTCGGCATCATGCTTCGAGAGACACAGGTTGAGGCATGCCGGAGTCTTGAGTGTGCAGGTGTCCCTGCACGAGAGGGTAGACTCTGGGCCTGTGGTTCGCAATTTGCAGGTGCTGCGAGCTTTTTTGCAAGGCAAGCAGGCACTGAGTGCGGCTCATTGTTGGTTACATCTGCACCAGAACGGATGTGAGTGATCTGCAGGACAGCTGGGTTCATCAGATGCTGATGGGAGGCGGTAAGACCTGCGTTCTCTGCTCAGCATTCTAGAGAATTTGTTTTAACACCCCGTTGTCACAGACGCGTGTGTGCTCGTCTGCCTGGGTTGCAACGGCATGCCCTCAAAATGAGGTGATAGCCCCAATTTCGGCAGCCCTCCTAGCCACGTCCCACCGGGCAAAGTTACCGACGCAGCCGCTGCGGCTGTGTACTTCGGAGAGTGGCAGGCCTTCGCGTCTTTTCGTCGCCATCGTCCCGCCTGGGGCTCAGGCTCCCGCAGCGCTTCCTTCCTGCCTTGTCAGTGACCGCAGCCCAGGTCCAGCCTCCTGACCTTCTCGAGAAATCAGCAGCGCTTCTCAGTGCTCTTGCGGCCCTTGCGGTGCGTTCTACTTGAGTTCAGACCCAGGCTCCGCGCCCGTCTTTGCAACCCCTGCTTGGGGGTTCCTGCGGTCCCCTCAGCGGTCCCCGTCAGGACATCACTTCTCTGTCTGCACTCGGCTTGCGGAAGGTGCTTACGTTCGATTTTTCCCGCGAGACGAGAGCCAACTCCTCGAGTTTGGGATCAACGACTTGTTTACTAGGTTGCACTAGCATGATCAGGGGAGCCGCGCAAGGTCACTTCGCAGCTTCTGCATCGACTGCAGCACGCGCGACGAAAGCGCAGCGCCGTTTGCGCTTCGCCACAAAGCATAAAGTCGCCGGCTGAGCCAGTCGAGTCGTGGTGAGATGCGACTGTTTATAGCCAAGCGACAGCAGCTTGTTTCCTCTGTTTCGCTCCTAGCAGCACTTGGCTCAGCTCAGGTCGCTGTGCCTTGGGCCTGTTGCTGGAGCGTGCAGCACAGTGGCATGGGCAGCCGTCAGCACCAACAATCGGCTTTCCCGTCCGGGCAGGGCTGCAGGGTGTGAGAGGGATGATGGCGCAGGTCTGCAGATACACCCCAAATGCGAACCCATGGAGTAGTGTACAGAACAGTACCTCTATGGACCAGTGGTCGACAAACGAGGCAGACGACAAGCTCAAGCGCGACCCGTTACATAGCTTTGACAAGGCATTTAGAAACGGTTGCCATAGTTCCAACTTCCTCTGTCGTGGCACTTGCCCTGCGAGCGCCATGGCACCGGTGGAAGAGATCACCACAACCAAGGCCCCTGGAAAAAAAAGGCCCTTGCCACCTCTCTTGACAGATCTGAAGGTGGATGGCGTATGCCAAGACGTGTGCCGCATCATGGCCAAGTTCCTGAACAGCAAGTCTCCTCCAGAGTCGGGCCAGGAGGTCCCAGTCAATGCCATCTTTTGCGTCCTGGTGTTGAGCAAGAGCCGCCAGGGCCTCCGCCTTCCTGACTGGAAGAAGGAGCAGGACCGACGAAGTTCTGATACCATCTTCGGGTTCCATCTTTGGGTTCGTCACAAATGCGGACTTCCTTCTCCTGTTCCTTGTGTGACTGCAACTGTCGTGACAAGTGATCTTCGTGAAGCTCCGCAGGCTGTGCAGTACTTCCAGCAGAATTTGGTCATTGATGACAAGTTCCACTCTAATTGGCAGGATGCTAAGCTTGTTCCAAGTATCTGTCGCAGTGCGCTCAGCCACACTTGCGAACTTCGGTCGCAGTTGTTCTCACAGAAATATCCCAGCCACAGCAGTGTAGTGAAGTGGTGGTGCTAGCGCAGTACTGTGGCAGTAGTCTTCATCGTCATACTATACTACTACTGCCGCTGCTGCTGCTGCTGCTGCTGCTACTCGTACTCCTACTCTTCCCCCTACTACACCTACTACTACTACTCCTCCTCCTCCTCCTACTACTACTACTACTACTACTACTACTACTTCTACGACCACCACTCCCTCTACCTCCTCCTCCTGCTACTACTCCTATTATTGCCTACTGCCTGCTTCCTTCTGCTGCTGCTAGTGCTAGTGCTAGTGCTAGTGCCAGTGCTAACGCTGCTGCTGTTTCCGCTGCTGCTACTCCGCAGCAGTGGTATATTGGTCTTATGCCACTTATGCTGCTAGCAGGGTGCTGTGGCTTCTGCTTCTCTGGCTTTGCTAGAAAAGCTCATCGATCATGGCGGCGACGCCTAGCTCGACCATTTCCAGCGTGCTCGTCGTGCAAGTGCTGGTATTCGTGCTATACAACACTGCGAAAAATCGCAAAGACTGCTCGATGCTCGACATCTCACATGGCCCTGATGAGACTTCAGGTTGGGCCTGCCGCCACCAGAGCAAACGTTGTCTGCTGGTAGATTTGTATGGGAGTTTCCGAGAATAAGGGGTACCTTATTTTGGGGTCCTTATAATTGGGATCCTATTATTTAGGGTACTATATTAAGGTCCCCTATTTTCGGAAACCCCCGTATTGCTCCCACTACCACAACTAAGACTAGCTGGCCAGTCATGGGTGCCTATGCCAGTCCAAGGTCTCGAACGCGATCCGAGCTTTGTCTCGCTCATTTCCGCAGGCTTGTGGACAGCTGGCACCCGGGCAAAAAGGCCGCTCCAATGTGAAGCCTGCAGAGGGACGGCAGCGATGGTGCTCCCTGTGATTACTGTGGTGATGGTAGCGAGTGCGATGATATTCAATGATGGCAAGATTAGCTTATTAGCTCGGGCAATGCAAGCAAATTGGGAAGAATTGCATTGATGAGGACAAGAAGTATAAGCTGCCATGCTTAAGGATCTCGTCAGGCGAGGCGCAGGAAACATGTGTCTCGGGGCAGCTTCAGGAGGTATGCCCCGTTAGCATGCGGCGGCCAGTCCGATAAACTACACTTCACGACATGTTCCAACAGGAGTGGGGATCTCATCTTGCTCGTAAAGTTGTCCAAGTAATGTCGGTGCTTTCCATAAGAGCAGATGCCATCATTAGTCAGCGGCAGAGACCACTGGTGAAGTAGCACGACAACAGAAAAAGTAACTGATGCTTTCTTTCGCTTTTCCGAGCATAAGCCAGCTTTACTTGTCCAGATCTTTCTGGAGGATTTCTGGAAGCAGTGCCGCGACTTCTGCAAGGAATGGGCTGGCTGGCAGTCAGGACAGCTCCCTTGCCATAGGTGTACTGTAGATGGCGCAGAACCTTGATTCTTTTTTCAGGACCGCCCGTGTGTCGGCCGCTGAGTGCTGGCAGGTGCCTGTAGCAGAGTGGTCCCCCTTGCCCAGTCTCAGCTTGCTCGCCGCGCAGGTTGAACAACTACCTCACGCACCTGGCTCGTGGAAGTGACGCGGAGGACCGGAGGGGTGCTGGGCAAATAAGCTGAATGCAACATTGCTGTTCTCGGATCTCGGGCAGCATGTAGTCAGGAGATCATACCGAGCCCAGAAATGCTCGCTGCAGTTGACAGGTGGGGCTGACAGCTGTCCGTTTTGTGACCGTGGGACTTTGTTCACTAGCCAGGCTTGCAGTGCTGAGACACCTAAGTAACTAGTGCCCGCGAACCAGCAGTGTAACAATAGGTGCAGTTCTGCTGGAAACCAACGGTGCCACCAGATAGCTGTTTCGAACACATAGTCTGAAGCCACATCAGCGGTGAGCTCTTGCTCATCTCATCGCAGGACACTGCCCATTCATGTCACTCTAGCATGTTCGGCTGGTCGCCAAAAGCAGCGCAACAAGCCGCTGCTTCCTCACCAAGTGCACAGTGCCCTGGGTCCTGACAGGTTCGGTATCCGGGTGACCGACATTCGGCTCACAAGCGAGAGCATCTTCAAGTGCCGTCCTAAGCCCCGCATCTTGCACTCGTGTAGTTGGCAGAACCTTGCCCACCCGTGCGCAATCGTGCCAGGCGCCGGCATAGAACCATCCCATTTATACTGTGAGTGAGCTAATCGCTTCGCACGTGTATAAACGGCAGGCATATTGAGACAGTTGAGCCATCGCCTCTTGTAACATGAGTAGAAGTAGCCAAAGTCGTTCACGGCCTTGCCTCTTAAACCCACAGGAAATGCCGGAAGCGAAGCCCTTCATGGGCATTCCGACGCATAGGGACACTGCGGCACGAGAGTGCCGGAGTATGAAGGTCTCAGTCTCATGCCTAAAGTGTTAACCGCAGCGGTACAAACGGAACCTGGCACACCCGACGTGATCGTGCCATTCCGGTTTGCTTGTATAAAGAGTTTGGCCGCATAGGGAGCTTGGACAATGCCTTGGCTGGCGGTGCTGGCACCGCTAGAGAGCTCAGAACACTGGGCTGGGCAGCTCTGCTAGCTCAGTCGCGTTGAATGCGCAGGTTCTGTCGGGACTGGACTGGCTTGGACTGGAGAGCAGGCCCAAACAAGAGACAGGAATGCACCTCGCTCTGTGTTAGCAAGCTTCAGGACAAGAAAGTAATACGTCTCGTTTTGCCAGAGGCTGCGCCAGCGACCCTTGTCCCTGGCCTGTGCCACAGGCCAATGTGCAGGGACCTGTGCAGTGGCTCTCATCGGATAGATTGCCATCTTGTGAAGAGCTGCAGGCATTCAACGGATTGCTCTGCAGCTGGAAACTACTCGCACAAGCCCGTGGGCACAATCGAGTTTACTTGAATCCTCCTTGGTCACATCTGGACCTCTGGCTCCGCAAGGCAGACACGCCGTCTGCCATGTCACATGATGAAGACTTGAAGCAAGAGAGTTGGCTGGTACGGTGAGGCGGCCATGGAGTACGCGACGGGTCTGCAGATCTTGATTGTGGTTCCAAGATGGACGGAGGCAATCTCCTGCATTTCCTGCATGATCAATGTACCGTGAGGCGCTCCGCAGTTTTTGTTGCATTTGGCTTTTCGGAAAGGAAAGTTGCATCTCAACCCTGACCTCGGCACAATATAGCCTGAGGCGCAGAGGGCATGTTTTTTTACGGGAATCAATCACATGGTCCTGTTTCGCCTGCGAATTCGGGTCCCTGCGTGATGCAGTGATGCAGTCAGGTTCGTTTCGCGACCACTGTCCCTCAAAACGCGCAGGAGCCATGCTTCTGTTTTGGACACATGCGGCCATGCCCATGTTTTCTGCATGAGCCCTGCAAGCCCTCAGAAGCTGGAAGGATGTGGGATGCAGAGTTCGCCCACCCCACGAGTGGCAAGGCTATGGCTCCCTTGGACGTGACCTTGATTTGGATGGTGTAGACGAACTGGCGCCAGCTTCCAGGCTGAAGCCTTTTCTTGTGGCGTCGGCAAGAGTTCAGAGGCGCTTGAAACTTCGAGACCGGAGTCTGAGGTTGAAACGAGTCACCTCCACGATCGGTGTCCATGCCCTGACAGCTCTTGGCACAAGGGCATGTGGACAGCACCATCATTCGCTTCACGCCGCTTGCATCCACTCTGTACATACAAATCCTCGCATGCTGTACAAACACTCGCCAGGGTGAGCCCCACCAGATTGTTCCGCTCGAAAGATTAGTACCATACTTGCGGTTGCAAAGGGGTTGTTGCAAGGTGGCTCTCACCCTTCGTCATGTTGCACTTGCCAGCCAGGCATCCATAAGCACATTCAGCATTGCTTCGAAAGTAGATTTTTGAGTTGTGGAGAGTGTAAATTTTCATTCTCACGAGGCACTCAAGTCTTGCATCAGACGCTTCAACATTGTAGCAACTCAGGTCAACTCAGGTGAATTTATATGTCACAACTGCTTTCCATGCAAGACTTGGGCTTACAGATTTCGCCAAAAGCGTGAAACAGTCCGCACCGAACAGCGAGAGCAGAATCTAATTTGGCACGTTGCTGATGGTTATGAAGTGCACGTATCCTACCTACCACGTGTCAAACCGCAGGGCGAATTGCCAGGCTCCTGCGTGTGGCCGAGTTGGCAGGGCAGCAAACCTCCACGGTTGTTGCTGCCACTGCTACCGGAAGAATGCGGAGATTGTTGAGTACCTTTCCCAGATATGTTTCAGCATGGGACCGATTGCACTTCGTGTGGTCATGAGAGTTGCCGATCAGTTGCCCTGTGCCGTGTCGGCTGGCGGACAGAGTCGCCACACACTTTCTGCAATTCAGCTTGATTTCAGGTGCTGTGGGCATCGGAGGTGAAGGAGGCCTCGATGGTGTCGTGGAAGCTTCGAGTTGGCACTTGGCTGTGCCAGGTACAAAGCAGCTTCCGGAAGTCAGTGCTGAAGAAGCACTCCAGGCTGGAGTGGGTGCAGGAGAAATCTGCCGAATAGATCGTCGCATGGCATCAGGTAGTGCGGAGTAATGCCAGTCCACTCATCTTGCCAACCCGGTCAGAACGCGAGAAAGATGCTGGAGCTCTTCAGAGGAGCGACGGCATTGATCGATGAGATTGACTGGGTTCGACGCTGAACCTGGCGACACCTTCATGTGTACAAGTTTTGTAGATGTTACTCGACTGTAACCATCCATCCACACTGCAGCCCAGCGGCATGCATGTAAGGTGATGCACCCTTTGAAGAGCGAGCTGCACTGGCCCTGTGGTCCAGTTCGCGCGCTCGACATGGCTGAAGCCACAGAAACTTGTCCGCAGCGAGGTAAGGCAGCAATGATGTGCGACATGAACTTTAGATCCTGATCTCGGCGTTCTGCAGAGGCAACCTGCCCAGAGTCTGGGTCGCAGCTGCCTCAGCTTCGACCGTGCTACTTCGGTTGGACGTTACTCTCCACTGGCTGAAGTGGCCATTTCATGTCAGGAGGTGGCGAATCATGGGATGCCTGGTGCCGACCACAGACCCGCATGGACACACAAAAACACAAAAATACCGGAAGTCGGCCGCCTCAGGTCTCCCGTTGTCCCCAATGTAGGATGATTCCCCATCCATCATGTACACTCATATAGTGATACTAGAACTGAGACAACGTTGGGACAACAAGGCGTTGTTGCAACTTGGTGCGCCGGGCTCTTTTGCAAGAGATCGCGTCGCCATTTACCCAGGTGGATGCCGTCCAAGAGATGGGCAGCAGTCTCCACACGGCATTTGAGGCGTAATTTGCTAGTTGTAGCATTCGCTCCTGAACGCGCGTGCTTCGCCAGGCGGGTGTTCGCGAGCACAAGATGATGATGAAGCCAAACCCAGTAGTACTGGACAGAAGGCCGGCGTCCAGCAGAGTCCGCAGTCCACTTAGCTGCGGGCACAGAGCCCGAAGATTGATGTCCACACAAGTGCAGTGTTGCAATCGGTGCTTCGTGTTGTTCGGAAGTGGCTGGGAAAAGGTTCGAAGACCCCTTGCTAGCCAGTCTCGAATGACTCGCGCTTTGGATCGGCCTTTATCTTCATGGACCAGCATGGAGAAGCATGCGGGAGATGATGCTGTAGGCGTAGGCAGCCGCTGAGCATCCGGCGAAGCATGCAAAGAGCAGCCTCAGAAAGACTATAAGACGACCCTGCTGCATGACGCAGAACTGCGGATTCTCCTGGAGGAGGGACAGGGAGAAAAGAGATTGAGACGGAGGAGGAGCGAACCCTTGGCCTGCGCTCGATTCACCAAGCCGTAGCGCATCGTCGGCAGCTTTAGAAGATGGCACTGTCGCTAGATCCTATCTCCGCCCACTAACAGCATGGAGACCGTGAACCTTTGCCAGGTGGTATTATGTGCGGCTGCTGCCGCTCTTGGCAACCGAACTCGCGAGTGCCAAGCCCCAGAGTCGCTGTTCGCAGACGGCCCACGGATGGGGCCTCCTGCTTTACGGTTGCTGTCAAGCTTCGCACGAAATCCCAAACCCATTTGGCTAGCAATATTTTCTCACTGGTTTCTACACTCTGCGAAGTGTCAAGGCCCTCTGAGGCTGTTGTGCTGCATGCCCCGTATCCCGTGAGCAGGGTCAGCTAGTCTGCCGCCTAGGTTTTCTGGGGCCGCGCACACCGGTGCCACGAGAGGAGTTGCTCTCATTTTTTGGTCCGGAAGGCATCGGTGGTATCAGATGACCGTAAAGTTACGTAGATGCCGTATCGTTGTCTTGCAGGGCGCTGTGGTCCCACTTTGACAAGGCAGTGCACAAAGATTAGGCCCTCCCTCTCTCCTCCCCATGCTCCTCCAGGCTCCCGGATGCAGAAACCAAGCTCCTCACACTTGGTCGGCAGCTGCTCCACAGCGCCGGCATCTCAAGTCCAATAAGTCCAGATACCCACGAAATCCCACCTGCCAGAAGCTCTGCCCACCAAGGTCTTCCCACACCTGCTCAGATGCACCGGCACGTCTTACAGTGGTAGAGTGCAGGAGCAGGGATCGTCGTGCTGACCGAAGAGGGTATTGACAGGTTTGCCTCATCGCATTCGATATGGCTTGCTTCCAGATCGGGCCAGGGCCCCCAGTTGCCGTGAGCATCAAAATCCTCCTCGCCGCTTGCTTCTCACTTGCCTCCCGAGATTTCACAAGGCAGCCAGCACAGCAGCTGGACTCAGCACACGTGGCCGCGGAGCACGACGGGCTTTGCTCGACGCAGTCTCAGCTCGACTCGTGATTTCGACTCATGGAAGCTTCTTGAGTTCCCCTTACATCGTCTTGCAGCCATGGTGCCATGATGTGCAACATACCCTGCGCACAGCTCCGAGGCAGTGCCATTTATTGGCAAGGACTGTCCCTCCACGGCCTCAGAGTTTGCCCATCCCGACGTTGCCATCGGGTCAGCCACGGTTGCTGAAGACTTCGTTGCAAAGTCCATGCAAGACGTGGCAAATAAGTGTCTCAAAGCTTCGCATTCGTCCCATGCGCCGCCCACAAGCTCACGCGAGCCAACTACCCACGCCTCACACGCGCCAGGTTGACGCTCCTGGCCTACCGCTACGAGGGTCTTCGGAAGCAAGACTTCGTTCTGCTGCTGAAGCTTCTTCGGGTGAGGGGCTGAGGCTGTTTGCGCAGAACTTGCCGTTCCTTCAATGCATCAGGCAGAAATGGACGAAGAGAGAGGGCCACACGCAAGGAGGCCGGGACCCTTTCAGCCAATTCAGGCCGACTATAGTGACTAGTTCACTGCTAGGCCGACCTGTCTTCGATGGGTCTCTTGGATCAAGGAGGCTGGTGGCCGTGTCACCGGTTTCAGTTGGGTCGACGGCTCGGCTCGGCCTCGGCTCGGCTCGACCAACTCGGCAACTCGGGCTCCGAGGCTGGGCAGTACCTTTCTGACATGCCGAAGGCACCCCTTGCAAGCCGCTGCGCTCCTTTTTGCAGATTTCGGGGTCAAGGATCTTGTCTCCGGGAGGATGAGGCTCGGTTGGATTCCCCTCCTGCCAATCAGCCTTTGCTTGAAGATGGACTGGAAGAGCCAGCGGCCAAGCATGTCGCGGCCGGCTAGGAAGTCCTTGATGGCAGAATACCTTGAACAGGCTGCGAGCCAATGTGTGGCCTTTGGAGAGGGTTAGCCTCAAAGACAAGCAGCAGGCTCGCGATCAGATGTGAGTCTTCTCGGATGGCCGTTAAGAAGCAGCTCATCAAGGTGCACTTGCTATGGTGCTTACTGCGACGCACAGTCGGCGCCGCCGCGATCTTGGCTTGACTGTATGCAAAGAACGAAAGCAAGGTGCACAGTGAGGAGTCATCACACGATCAACCGCAGTTCTTCAGGTCAAGTACTATCTGTACGAGCATGTTCGAGCCCTATGCAGCTGTAGGCCAGTGGTGCTGCTTTGTAGTCGGCTTGGCCAGTCACAGGCTGCAACCGAAAACAAAGGTTTTTCCAGGCGTCATGGGCCTGAGTGACTCGCTGCTTTCGTGCACAGCACAGGACGGCAGAAAAAGATGTGGGCATTGTGCCGAAAAAGTGGTCTTCAAACATATTGGCATAAATGAGTCCACGCAGCACGGCAAGCAGGAGCTTGGGAGCAGTGTGCTCTTCGGCCAAAGCCTCAGCGAGCACTCCGAAGCCCTTTCGCTCGGACTTCTGATCAGGTCGGCGTCTTGGCTTCAGTGGTACACCCTCGGAGGTGCTGCCAGCAAGTGCCCTCGGCTGCCGTGTGTCCAGAGTCTAGAGGCAGCAAGCAAAGAAACTGCAGTCGAGGTATGGGTAAGATCCACTACGAGCAGGGTTGCGACGCGAAGATTTTGAGCACACTTCTGAATGCCAATGCCGGAAACCCAAGAACACAGCTCTTGCACCGGCATCCCGGTAAAACTCTGTGCTCTCCTGCTCGGCGTACAGAGGAGCCTACCGGCCCTACTGTAGGTCGTGACTCGAACAGAGACTCTGCCAGCAGGGTGGGCCAGTTTCTCAGCCGACAGGAACGAAAGTCCCCCACTTTGCTTCAGTGGCTGAGGACCCTGCGTTTCTTCTGCAGCGAGCCGCGACAGGGGAGTTCCATGCGCCCTAGTCCTAGACTGGCTCAGAGCCTTTACTATATGATTTCTATAGAAAAATATATATTTCCATCCTTCGCACTACGAAGCTACTCTTGCTATCATGTTCGCTACTGTTGTGATTATGATTATGATTAGCACGTGTTGTTATTCGTGTCTTCACTTGCCAGCATACAGAAAGCTGAGGCTCATCGATGCGGGGGCATTGGTGGTTGGCTTGTCGAACTTCACCGAGTCTTGGCACGAAAGGATGGCAAAGAGCTCATATTGCAATTTAACAGCAACTTGTAACACTAGCCCCCTGCAGTTCCTATATAATCACACTGCAAACTCTCTGGTCCCAATGTATTATAGTATATCGCATAACCCCCCAACCCCGCCAATGAGACCCCCTGAGTAATTCTAGGCCCCACAGGATTACACTGTAGTTTACCCCCAAAGCCCAAAGTCAATTGGAGTCCTTGTTCTACAATGATATCGCCCCTCCCCCCCCCCCGCCTCCCTCCAAACAAAAAGAAGGCATAAATTAATAGGAGTCCTTGACTAATCGCAGACCGTAGTTGCGTTGTATTGCACCCCACTTCAAGAAAGATCGATGATTAAGGCCTACTCGTATCTAAACCATACGGCCCTAGCCTCAAGTTTTGCTGGAGCCGTGTGCACCGGACGCCTCCCAGGTCTCCCTAAACAGCACACCCCTACACCCGAAACCCCAAAGCCAAAACCTTGCTACAGTTGGAAACGAGCCCGAAACCCTCTACCCCTAAACTCGAAATCCCAAAACCCTCAATCCCTGACTTCAATCCGGAAACCCGAAGACAGTAAAGATACATCTTTCCAAGGCAGCCTCGAAGCTCCTGGAGTTGGCTTCTGAGCTTCAGCTTGTAGATCGGATAGTAAGTACGACATAAAGCATGCATACATATATATATATATATATATATATATATATTATACGATATGATATATTAGTTTGATCATGATATGCAACATGAATTATGTAAGAGAGGATATCAGGTACATGATATAGTACCAAGTGATGGGTCATAGAATAGCATATAATATGCAACATAATGTAATGTAGCTAGTGTAGCCAAATAAAACACAATTCAGTATAACATAATGTATATGTCGCTGAATGCTTTGTTGTATTGCGTTGCATCATACATTGCATTAGATATGGCGGATTCCTGGCCATGCAGAGGTCGTTGCCGGCATCCTCGTTTTTCGGAGTGGTGTTCTTGACTGAAGCGGATGAGTCAGTGGTTCTGGTACGAGCCGTCAGCTGAGTTGAGATCATGTTTGAACCTTGAGTTTTGAGCAGTGCTCTTCCTAGGACGGGCGCATCTTGCCCTTGGCCGACTGCGGCTTGTCCCCAGAGCAGAGATTCACGACTGGCCCTCAAGCAGATAGCAAATCACACAAAACCACGCGGCATGTCCACCGTGGTCTTGTGAGAAGGCTCGTTTCTGGACTTTTGAGGTTCTACGACCACGTGCACACCACTGGGCTCGATGTGCCGCAAGCTCCCTATGCACGTGCTGCTCTGACGCTGGGCTCTTGCCTGAGGAGTTGGGATTATATTGGGCCCCCCTGACTTTAGAATGTTGAAACCACGAGAAGTGTGCTCGAGCAGACGTCTTACACATACCGGTAGCTGACCAAGGTAAAGACATGCTGTGGAGAGACTACGCACAGGTGCTCCACATCCAACCTTCCAACAGAGGAATTGACACCGGAACACAGGGAAGTCTTCGATAGCTTCTGCCAGAAGATAAAGAGCAAGCAGCAGCACAGTGTAATACGTGCAATGATCGGCACTGACTTGAAGCCACCAACATTGGCAGGCCGCTTTTCGTATGCGAGGGCTCGGGCCAGGGGCTGCAGTCTCAGTTGGGGGTTTCCCAACATAGGGGACCCTAATCTAGTACCCCAAATAGTAGGATCCTTATTATAAGGACCCCAAAATAAGGACCCCAAAATAAGGTATCCTAATTTTCGGAAGCTCTCAGTTCTAACGGTGCTTCTCGAGTACTGGCTTTTGGCAGCGCTGTCGATGATCGCGCACACTGAGGCGCAGACGTTACAGTTGCCGCGGGCTCGCTATGGCAATAGCGATCCGGCTTTGATGTGGCTAGTGCGCCTCTTCGTCGCATGAGGCTGGTGCCTCCGGAAATTCGTCACCTTGTGGTGGCTGCTAGGTGGCAATATGCTGTAGGATTCCATGATTGATTTTTGGCGCTTGGCCCCGGATCTGAGACACTGTGCCAGTTCAGGCAGCAGAGGAGGCCGAGGTCGACTTAGAGCCTCGAGCGCCGGTGACAAACTGCCCAGGGCCCAGAGTTACCATGAAGCTTGGGAGACGCACCCCAGATAAGCCGAGAAGCCCAGGCTCGCCGAACGACGACCTCATTTCCCTGAGCAGCGGCCGCATCTGAATCTGGGCCGATCTGCCCTTGTACATCTAGTTCTCAGGTCCCGTTGTTGACATCGGCCTGAACAGTTTCCCGCAGGACTTCCGAAGTCAAACCAGAGAGTAAGCAGATGATGCGGTTTTTTCAGGATGTGCAGACAAGTCAGCCCAAACCCCGGCCACGCGTGAGCGAAGACATGGTTGAAGCCAACAAAGCGACGCCCCAAAGTGCCATGGGAAAAGGCCAACGACCACACTCCAATTTGGCTTGGATTCGCTGCTGGCAAAGCACTTACTGCACTTGCCCACAGAATGCCTTGCAGCCACCACAGCCCGAGGCTTTTGATGCCTTGGCACCTGCAAGCTACGCGAAGCAAAGCATTCAGGAGCCGCTTCGTGCTGCCATGCTCCGCAGAAGCAGTGACTGCGCCGAAGACAGGCTCAGACCAGCCCTGAAGAGCACAAGAAAGAGCTCGCTGCGATCCTGCGATGGACAGGTGGCCCACCAGAACGCAGTTCTCCGGCCTTCGGATGTCAGAAGTACGTCAAACCGCGCTGCAAGGCGGCAACACGCTTGACAGTGACATCAAGCAGTTCGCTTTGCTCTGTGAGCAGAATGTGGAGGCTCTTTGGAGGCCCAGCGGAGTTGTGGATGGAGTTGTTGACGTTTCTTGAGGGGTTGGCCATGCTTCTTGCTGCAAGCGATCGAAGCAGCTTTCCGGGAGGAGCCGTGCCTGGTCTGTAGTTCAGGGCAAGGACAAGGAGGCACAGAGCACTCAGAGCAGTTCAAACTCCAGCAGCATGGGCTCCTGCATGGCGGCGACGGTATCAAACCCAAGGCTTCAATGGGACTGTCAGCAAGCTTGACAGTACTGCGGATGCCCAGGGAAGATGCCCCATGCCTGCGATAGCCGGCAGTCGAGCGGCGAGAGCCCTCGCTGAGCTGAGGTTATACCGAACGATCCCGATCCGCTGGTTGAGGCTCTCTGTCAGTTCCGTGTCGCTTGCCGCACTCATCCCTTTCGCTTGGTATTTGGAGCATCGGCAGGAGCGAACACTCAGCGAGCGGCTGGCAGAGAGGCTTCGTGCCCCGTCCTTAGCGTGGAGGTGTGCTTCCATGAACAAGCTTGGCATGATCGCAGCACAGGCACACGCGCACTGGATCACTCCAGAGGCTGCGATGCAGAGAAGCCACGGCTGCTGTTGCTGCTCAGATCCTGGGAGGTACAGCAAATTGGTAACGAGCTGATTGCCGAGGCTGCAGTGTTTTGGAACGACATGGGCCTGGGGGCCCGGGACGCAGAGTGAAGCCAGTGCAGCTGGGAGGCTTCGGGCCTCGATCAACGAGGGCTGCTGGGAAAGGCGCCAGCGTGAGAAATTCGGTAAGGAGGGAGTCGGAGTACTATGAACTATCAATATTGAACTATTAATCTTAAACTTATATTCATCTTAGCTATGAATGCTAACTGTTAATGTTAATTATTCATACTAACTAACTGTGAATATTAACTATGTCAGATAGTGTGATGTGTCATGGCGCTCTACTGCATCAGGGAAAGCTCGGGAAGCTCGGGCCGGGATCGGTCTTCAAGGGCCTGGAGCAAGAGCAGGCGGGGATTGCGGCAGAGCGGCAGCGGGCGCACGCATGGCATGGAGCAAAAAGGGCTTTGTTTTGTAACAGCCCAAAGAGGGTTTGTATAGAGACCCAAACAGGATTTGTTAATAAAGGTTTTTATAAACAACATAAGAGGGTTTTAGTAAAACCCCTCCTGACGAAGCTCACAAGTTGTCAGAAGTCGCAGAGGTACAGGAAGAAGAGCAGGAAGAAGAGCAGGAACAGGAGCAAGAGGAGGAACAGGAGCAGGAAGAGGAGGTGGAGCAGGAAGACGAGGAGGCGTAAAAATGCCTCTTCAGCGCACTTGCTCCTGATCTTCAATCCTTGCTTGAAGGAAGAAGCCGCAGATCAGAAGTATTCGAGAGAAGACGAAGGCCACCTGCTGTCAATGAACTCGTAAGCGCACTGTTTTAAGCACATTGTCCTCCTGAGGCGAATGCGCGTGGAATCCCAAACTCCTGTCGGAAGAGCCAAAGCTTGCCGATGGCAGCTACACGTTCTACAGGTGCTGCCCTCGCCTTAACACCGGCTTGTCAGGCACAGCATGGTCCAACGGTATGTCTCTTGGAAGTGGATCGTCCGGCGAAGCGTCACTCCGGGGCTCTTGAATGGCAGGAAGTCAAGTTCAAGGGAGGTGTCAGACGCCTCGAGGCAAGTACAAGCACAGTCTGCTAGTGGTAGTTCCTAAAGCACGGTGAATCTGACCTCGACTGCCTACCACGGCCGATCCATTCGATTCAACACTTCTACGTGGAAATTGCAGCTCCAGCTCTGTCACACTGGATCGCACGCGTCCCCGCTGAACTGTTTTGCGAGACAAGGTGAGGGACTGTCTGTCTTCAATGGCAAGCTGATGCAGGCGGCGCTGTCAGTTGCTGTGCGCCCTTGTGCAACTGCTGGCAACCTTGTGTCAACAAAAAGTCAAACCCGGTTCTGTGCACATGATGCACGACCCAAGACCGTGCCTATTGCGACACTCATGATCGTGGTGATTGTTGCGGCTGCTGCATTGACCTGATGCTTGTAGCGCATGATTGTGTTGCAGTGCTACCGCAGGCACAGAAAAGCCTTCGATTTCCGCCGTGGTTCGTGGCATCACAGAAGATTTGGCATGTTTGGTTGTGATGTTCACAAGCCGTGCAATTAGAGTAGCGAGAAGCTGCTTCGCGATGGCAGGAACTACTTTCGGCAGCAGTGGCGACTTAAGACCGCAGATGCCCAAGCGTGAACTTCAATGCTTCATTGCTCCGAAGCCTGTAGGTCACAGAGAGCTTGCACTTAGGTCCGCCGCCTGAAATGCTGCTTGATGCTGGCAGAGTGGGCCGAGCTCCCGGTGATACTTTGTAGCCCTGGTTTTATTTACATCTGACTTGGGTCTTCATGCTTACCCCGTTGGGTGCAGATCCAGTTCAGCACCGATATCCTGGCCGTGGCATTGTGATAAAACATGGCACGGAGGGGACGCTGAGCCATGAAACTGCTATCGAAACTACATGCACACGCCTGGGACGGCCGCGTGCTGCCCGCATTCGGCTTCCACAGATGTACGTCGCTTTGACGAAGTCGAATGACTGGATTTTCAGAAATGGCAAATGAGTCGAGAAAACTATGGCAAAGACAACCTGTGGTCTACGACCTACTGTAGACTACAGACTCATGTGGCAGGCACAAAAAAGGTTCCCCCCCACAAAAAAAGACTCATGTAGTTCCACGGGCACTGAGGTAAGCCGTGACTCAGGCATGTCAAGTGTTTGAGATATGTGGCTGTTTTGAGCTGGCCTGATTTCCAACATGTGCACGAGGATGGTTGAAGTGACTAACCCACTAAGCCTCGAGACACACCCTTGCAATGATGAGCAATGGCTCCAGAACGGGATCAACCCATGTGTCACGATAAATGATTTCGTTGCTTGTAGTCAGCTGTCGTGCCTCAGGTGCCTGGTGGGCGCACGCGGGAGCTTCTTCAGCAAATCGAGGTCACTAGTTGGCATCAGGATGCAAGCGCATGAAAGCCGTGCCTAGCAGAACACAGCTCTTTGTGCTCACACATCTTGTCAGCACTCGGAGACATACCGCTGCCGATTTTCAGAGTTACACGAGTCGATCTCAAGTTTCACAGCATGCATGTGTACTCGTGCCAACGTGTCTCGCCCTTGCCGGCCAGGGCATCGCATCCGACTCCGACGCGCTGCGTGCAGCTTTGAATGCCCTGGAGCTGGAAGGTGTGGAGGTCCCTGGGCCTTTGTTTCGTTGAGATACTCTGCATACACGTCTATATCCCTATGTGGCCACTATTGGCATCCAGGAGCTGACAGAAGCACAGTCGAAATCCTTGATGGAATGTCGGAGACCCGGACCGGGACTCGCAAAGCGTGGCAATGGGAGCTCTCTGGAAACGTCGAGGCTTGCATCTTCAAGTCGGCCAGAACCTCCCGGTATCCAGGCCATGGCTTACTCTGTGAAGGGAGTACTGTTTTCGTGGGAAACCTGGCTCTCATTCAATCGTGGCTGCACGACATCGAGCGAGGACGGTCGCTGACCTCGGCCGCTTAATGCAGTCCGAGGCTCCCATGCCTGCACCTCAGAGACACGACCTGGGAGACTGGCGAGCAAACTCGTTGTGAGCCAAAGGTGCCCCATCCAGCCTGGACGTTACTTTTGCTTAGTGTCCCTCCTGGAAGCGGAGCAGCTTGATGGCATCCCCTTGAAGTCACAGTCGGGCATGGTCCCTCTCAGAAGTCCAAGCTGCAGGCACTTGCGAGCTGCAGGGACCTGAGCCTCAAAGCCATGGCCTGGTGTCCCGGTGCAGCAGACATCGCAATAAGACCCTTAGTCAGGTCCTTCACAGCCGCCCGCCTTTCCCCATGGGCATTGCGCTGTTTGGGCCTTGACGGGGATGCTCCCGCCACGGTGAAGCTGATTGCATTAGGGATTGAAGAAGTTGCCGCCAAGGCGTGCCCCTGTGGCTTTAGAAGGGCAGCCGCTGGACACCAGCAATGATTTCTCCCTGGGCCCTTCCTTTCAGGCCTTTGCTGCCCATGGCCCAGCAAAATCAGGGCCATGTCTCTGAGTGAAGCTTATAACTTGCCTCCTCAGGCAAGCCAGCTGAGCCGCTTCGTAGATTCAGAGGCCCACGGTCGTCAAGGAGTCGGACATCGCTTGAAGTCTAGTCACGCGCAGGTCTCGTTTAGCGCGCGCGAGCTGTGTGCAGTGGACCTGTGCCTAATGGGAAGCAAGCACGCGGAGTCAAGAACTCAGAGCTTCGTTGGCCGTGCTTGCAGACGTAGCGGGCCCTTGGCAGATTAGGCGCCTGGAGTGGTGGGAGCAAGTGCGGCATTGTCGACGTCGGGCCCAAGCGCGACCTGCCGGGGGCCCCAGCCGGCAGACCCTGAGCCTCAGTTCCAAAAAAACCACATTTGCCTGAGCAGAAAGCGTGTCTGACGACACCGAAGACGAGAAGCAGGAACTCAAAGGACAAACAAGCAGCGAGGACCGCCGCAGTTGCAAGGACAAACGAGGCCCACACCTTGATACCACATCTACCAGACACCGCAACTTCAACACCAGCTGCTGCTACTGCGGCTGCGGATGTTGCAGTCGCAGCATGTGCGGCGGCATAATGAACAAGATCAGTAAGAACAACAGCAGCAAACAGGAAACGGCAGCGAAAGCAGGTGCAGTCCGCAGCAACAGCACCAGCAAGCGACGTTAAGACGGCAAGCAGGAGCAAGAACAGCAGTGAATGCTGATGGATGCAAGATGCCCGGAACTGCCCGTCTCGGCGATCATATCGGGTTCTGCCAGCTGCGCTGCAGCTACACCGGAATGCCCCGTGCTGGCGGAAGCCGGACATGCGATCCTGACAAGCTTAAACCTAATGTACAGGATGTCGCGACGAGCGACTGCTACCCTGAACTTTCCTCCACCACCACCAATACCACCAGCGCAAGACTTTTGCTTCTGTCAGCAAGGCAAACGGCAAGCAATTCTGCAGGGGTTCGTTGGTGGGTTTGTCGGGACCGGGTTGCTTGCGTTGTCACTAGCCGCACGGCCGATATCTTTTTTTGTGATTTGATCGGGAAGCCCGCGGCTGCATCGAGGTGCCATCGTTGTCTGTGGCTGCTTTGCTGCTTCCGCCCAATATTCGGCACAAGGCACGGCTCTGAAGCAAGCTCACTCGTTCTTAGGACACTGTAACTACAGTGTAGTGCTATGGATCCCCCCTTCCTGCAGGCGCGACTGGAGAGCTCCATCGCCAAGGCCATCGGGCATGTAGAGTACCGCGTTCTGACATATTCCAGAGGTTCAGTTGACTATAGCTGCAAGCGAGCGTGTGACCCCACAGGTAAGAACTGTCTTGAGACGGCGTGGGGCAAATGCAAGGCAGCTGTTCGCTCTGCAGGCGCTCTGAAGGAGACAGGGCACAGGGCAGGCCTCACATGTGATGTTCTCCTTCCCACTAGGCCGGAGGCAAGTGTCTGCACCTGAGCGCTCGAGATCTCGCTCAAGCGTCCCAGCCTCGAGCTGTCGGAACTGGGCTTTGCCCGCTTCGCTTCGCTTCGCCTCGCCCACTTCGCGCCAGAGGCTTCAGCAGTTCGGTCTCCTGGATGCGATGGAGGCCGGCAGGCTCGCACTCACTGCCGCCAGGCCAGGCTCCCAAACACAGCGAAGAGAAGCGAGAAGACAGATGTGCCCCTGCGAAGAGACGGCAAGGATGGACGCAGAGGGCGTGACGATGGAGTCCCTGTCTTGGAAATTGGGAGCTCGAAGAGCCTTGCCACCCTGACCCCGGCTTGCCACAGGAGAGCGAGCGTGAGCCTTTCGAGCTTCTTGCAGCTTATGGGATCGGTTGGGGGCGATGCCCGGGCCTGAGTCCCTGATGGCGGCATCTTTCGAATCAGTGGAAGTAGGCGAGACGGTTAGAAGCCCTGAGGACATCGATGAAGCCGAAGGCAAAGAAGCTGTTTTGGAAGCGCGGTGCCCACACCATCTTTTGGGGTTTGTGGCATGGAAATCGACGCCCGAGATCGCCTTTTTCGGGGGGGCCTTTTGGGTTCCCCTCAGCCCATGGTCGTCAGGCAGCTCCTTCGCCATCTGCTGCACTGGCCGAGTGCCAGCTGAATTTAGAGGTTGGACCGAATCCTAATCTCAGAACCTTCCTCGCAAAGCAGTTGGCGGGTTCCATGGGAGGCTGGGCGCTGGTCAGTCAAAGTACTGACGCATGACCGCCTGGTCGAAGTCTGGACGTCTCGGAAAGTACCGGGAACTGAGGCACGGAGCCTCACACAGATCAGGTTTGAGCACCTTCGACTCCGTTTCTTCAGAGAGATATGGAGCAAAGTTGCAGTCTCCTGCTTCCGGTCGCTACCAGTAGGCGAGACCCTTCAGCATCTGGCGGCCGGACCTGAAGGCCCCCGACAAAGGCAGAGCAAAGCAAAGGGAGACTTTCGAGTCAAAGTTTGACCAGTCTGGTGCAGCTGCGGGTGGAAACTCCCTTCAGCAAGGGCTCAGGCTCCAGCCTCCAGCCGTGTCTACGAGCCGAAACCCGGCTACTGCTCCCCAGGAGCCTCGTGGGCGCAGGAAACGGCCGTCCGGCGCCTGCACTGGGACACCTGCACGCACATGCGCGGCGCAGTTGGCGCCCAGGCCTCTTCTTCCTGGGAGACATCGGACGGCGGGGTCTGGAAGCGCCGACGGCATGTCCAAGCCTCGGCCCAGTCACACCTTGCCAACTACACTTTGCAGCGACTCGTGTGGAGTTTCTCGGTGTAAGCAGGCTGCCTGCGCAGCATGTCAGGTTTGGTCGTAAGGATCAAACCCTCGAAAAGCCCTCCCAAAGGAGGAGGACTTGGATTAGGACCGCGGCGCGCTCCCGTGTGCCTCATGGGTTGTCGTCCCCCCGGGACATTGCTCGCGTCAGGACTGGATGCTTGGATGTCGCGGTTCTTGCCGTGACCCGACTCGACCTGGCATAGCAATCTAGACTATTCTAGGATCTAGACCTGGTTTGGAGCATGTCCAGAGGCAAGGAGCTGAATGACTTGCAACCGCAGGCGACCCGTCGCATTCCGATTGATTTGGTACGACAGACGCGGTGCCACATCTGCGAAAGTCCCAGTGAACGAGGGTTCGGAGCTTCGGCCGCAAGTTGCGTGTCGCACCAGGAAGCCTCTGCCCAAAGTCAGGGTTCGTCCGCTGCGCAGAACCCAGGCGCGCTGTGAGCGTTGCAGATAAATGCAGTCGATGTAACCATGTAGGCCATGCCATATGAAGGTAGCGGGCAGGAAGCCGACGATGTTGTATCTTCCGGCAAGCGCGCAGGCGGTGAAGGCTTGTACGTGTGGCGGCCAGTTCCCCCGAGCGACCTCTACATAGCCTTGGGCCCTGGCCTTGGCGCGACAACAGCGATACTTCGGCCCTAATCCTAAAGCCCCCTCAACTGCTGGGAGGTGCTGTTTGCACCACGGACTCTTCCGAGCCTCGGGGCGTCGACTTTCGCTGTGCTCGGCCCCTTAGCACAGCCCAGCCGGCCCAGCACAGAAGGTTCGCGGAAGGACAAAAAGAAAGACCCTTCTTTGAGGTGCCACGGGCGTGGCTGGTTCGTGGGGATTCCCTGGGGCCAACTCTTTGGAGCTTGGGCGACCGGCCGTGACCTCGAAGAGCTTTTTCAAAATGGAGGTCATTCTCTTGCTTTTTGCCCTTCAGGCAGGAAGTCCGGGTACAAGAAGCGCTAGGCACAGCGGCACTGGTCTGTCGCCAGGCATGGTTCTTCCAGTCATGCCGACAGGTGGAGTCATCGCATGCCCAACGGAGAACCTCCGATATCTTCCCAGCTGGGGATTCATATCCGAGAAGTTCTTCGTTGGATCGTGATGCGAAAAAGCCGGCAGTCTGCACATGCATTCGGTAGAAGCTGTCCAATATGTGGCCTGCATTGAGGGATTGACGTGATTAGATGTGTCGACGTTGCCATCCAGCGCTCGAACATCCTGCAATGGCTCCTGCATCCAGCAAGGCATCAGCCAGAGGCCGGAACGACTGAGTGATGGAGAGAGAGTGAGTGAGTGAGTGAGTGAGTGAGTGAGTGAGTGAGTGAGTGAGTGAGAGGGAGGGGAGAGAGTCAGGTTGCCGCGCTGAGAGAATACGTCTTTCAAAGAGCAGGAGATGGCCATAGTAATGGGTGACGGGGAGCAGCACAGCACGCAGTCGACCCGACTTTTCCCGCCCAGCGGTTTGGCACATTGGTTCGGCGGAGACTGCATACACAAGGGTCGCTAATGGTCGCTATGTCTGGCTTGCTGGCCAAAGTTCAATATGAGCTGGTCCAGAACGTTTTAGAGCACGGTGGGATCGTGGAGTTGAGTTCGATTCGTGTGTTATCGCGGCAACGAAGCCAACCAGACTTGGGAAGGATCGTAGGAGCATGAGATACTCAAGAATTTAGACATGTCGACCTGCCATATATACTGTTGAAAGAGGCTCCCAGACTTTGTGGTTCAAAGTACGGCTATGGTTGTAAAGGTCTTTCGAAAGAGCTTCGTTTGATCTCGGGAGTCATGGGCTCTGACTTGGAGATCCGTGTCTGTGGTTTGACGGGGATGCTCTGCGTCCTGAAGCCAGAAGAGGCCGGGGGTCTTACGGAGTTGAAGCTCGCGATTGAGCAAGCAACAGGCATCCCGCGCTGGGAGCAACAGCTAGTTGCAGGGACAGAGGAGTTGACAGAGCGAAACTTCTCTAGCCAGTTCTCCCGGGACCTCACGATGCTCCGACAGAACCTGTCTGCCAAAGACTGGCGGCAGATCGTTGAGCGGAATCCGGAGGCATTTCAACATGCTCCAGTCTCTGTGAAGCAAGATCGAGATGTCGCTCTGAAGGCCATCTCTCAGGCCGGTCACTCTTTAAAGTATGCTACCTGTTTGCAAGCGGACCGCGGGGCGGTGATGACGGCCGTCCAGGAGGCAGGCTCTGCACTGCAATACGCAGCGGAGCCTTTGAGGTCAGATCCTGAGGTTGTCCTGGCCGCGGCACGGAATGATGCCCAAGCACTCGCCTACGCATCGAGCCAGCTTCTTGACGATCGCCGCTTCCTGCTGTCGGTCCTGCGGCGGAACGCTGCTGTGTACACCATACTTCCACGACAACTTCGCGAAAGCTTCGACTTTGCGCTGGCCGCCGCGGAGCAGAACGGCGATGTGTTGGCGCACATGGAAAAGGAATTCCGAGAGGATCCGGTGCTGGTGACAGCCGCTGTTAAGCAGAATGGCCTTGCCATACGGCATGCAGCACCCTGGCTCCGGGCGGACCGTGACTGCGTGCGGTTAGCAGTCTCTGAAAACGAAGGGGCTCTGCAGTATGCGGCAGACTCCCTTCAAGCAGACAGGGCTCTTGTTTTAAGCGCAATCCCAGAGACTGGGCTGGGGCTGGCGCTGCAGCATGCATCTGAAGAGCTCTTGCTGGATCGAGACTTCCTTCTGGATGCTATCCACAAAAATGCAGATGCTCTTCTTCATTCGCCAGCAGAGGGCTTGCATAACAGTCGCAGCTTCATGATGGAGGCCGTACGACGGAACGGAGGGGCCCTTAAGAACGCGACGTCAGACTTACAGGCAGACCCGGAGGTGGTGAAAAGTGCCATCCGCCACCACAGTGCCGCGTTCCTAAGTGCAGCAGTCAGACTGCAGACCGAGCCTGGCTTTGTTAAGGAAGCGCTTGATGTCAATGGGCTGATCATGGAACACCTGGGCGAGAAGTTTTCCCACGATCATGCCATGGCAATGCGTGCCATTCGACAGAATTGGAAGTCATTCCGATTCTTGCCTCTTCCCTTGCGCAAAGATCGGGACATTGTATTGGCGGCAGTCCGGCAAAATGGCATGTCCGTACGCTACGCCGCCGGCACTGCGCTTACAGATCCTGATATCGCCGTGGAAGCGATTCGACAAGACTGGCGATCTCTGCAATTTCTTCCTCTTGGCTTGCGTGGGAACCGAGACATCGCGCAGGCAGCAGTGGATCAAGACCGACGTGCTTTGCAGTACCTGCCCCTTGATCTTCAATCGCTAGTCGGCACTGACATCCAGACTGACCTAGGCGACAGCTCGGAAAATGGGACCGTCATTGCCTTCCTCACTGTAGAAGCAGCTAGTGCACTTTTGGTCATGCATAAACCAGGTGCGAGGGCGAGCACCCGCTCGTGCGAAGGCATGTCATGCAGGGCCCTCAGAGGTCTCGGATGTCTCAGACTTTGCTGCAGACTACCCTTTTTCGAGGGCAGCTGCCGTCAGAGCGCTCGGCACTGGCAAGGCCGAGCCGTAGCACTTTCCTCCGATGAGATGGACATATGCCATGACAGATCCAACGCCGGGAGCAGAGCGCTTCGACGGCGCTCGTCGATCCACGATGCAGGCTGACTGGACGTGGATCTTGATCTCAGGAAGTGATCGGTTTCGCCAGGGAGCTGGGCGGCGGTCCCCCAGTGCATCTCCCGCAGGCTCTTCACAGAGCTGAGCGGCCCCATGGCATGTCCGCTGTTGTGCCGGCAAGGCGAACGAGAGCGGCTGTGGAGACCCGGCCGACGAAGAGATGAAGTGCAGGTAGTGCCCAAGATCGTATTTACCAAGCAGGCCCTGGAGTCCAAAGGAAAGCTTTGCCTGCGACCAGTAGCCGCAGTAGCCGCTCCAGGTCGTCAGCCTCTTGCAGACGAAACAGCTGGGCCGTGCGTTGAAGCAGGAATGCGTATGCAATCGGTTTGTCATCTCCTGCTCCGATGTTTTGCCACTGCTCTGCAGGAGGAGACACGGACAGTGTTGACAGAGATACAAGGTCGGTAGGGACGCTGCAGAATCCCGCTTCATGTTGCTCTCTGACAAGGACGTCCGATACTTGTGGGAACAGACGACTATGCCCACATCTTCAAAGCCTTCTTGAAGCTGCACCTGTGGGAACAGGCGCTGGGCAAATGCCGGAGATGCACGATGCAACTGGTTTGTAATGCATCAGGGAGTGGGTGGGTTGGAAGTCCATCATGCAGTTCCCAGTTAACGACCGAAGCACAAGCCTTCATGTGCGTAGGAAATACTAGGTCGCTTCCAGTTTATGTTGTTGCCCTTCAGGTGGTGCATCTTTGGCAAAGCATGAAGTCGCCTTTCTGCAGTAGCTACCTCGTGATGCTCCGGACAGCTCGCGGTGCTGAGGCAAGAAGGAATGGTCTCCAACAGCAGAGCGTCTGGAAACGTTGCCGAGTCTGGGTCTCGGAACAGCTTCGTGGCGACCCTTCAGTGGGGGGCGTGGGCCTGCGTTGATCTGCACAGGTCTTTCATCAGAGGAGGTACGTGGGCTGGGTCTTTGGCAGGACCCACAGAACTGCAAGACTACAAGAAACTGCCGGGGGCCCGCTTCATACCCAAAGGTGATCCTTAACACAATGCATGCAGAGCGACTGGGCTTACGAAATGCCAGAAGCCTGGACATCCGTGCTTCTGGAAGGACCTTGCTGAAACTTGGTACAGCATGCTTGCTATCCGACAAGGCCGCACAAGGTGCTGCTCTAGCAGTCTGCCGACAGCGCCGCTTGGCCCAACTCGTGGGGGGTGATCATCTCGCTCTTGAAAGACGGTGCAGGTCGCTTGTGGCAAGAAGCCTTGCAGCAGTTTCTGCAGGAGTTCAGATGTGAGCGCATGGTCAATCTTGCTGCAGTTTCCCTGCATGTGCGTCGTCATGCTTTGAGGAGGGAATCTTCACGCTGCTGACAATGAAGCGCATGTTCTCCATCCTTGCAGATGCTGATCAAGTTGGCTTGTTGCTCGCCCCTAAGGGTCTTGCCGACCAGACTTAGCTCTTTCCTTCGCATGGTTCCCGGACCTGTTGAGCGTTTCATGTCACAGGAAGACACTACTGGCACTGTTTCGTCAGAACGAGAGGACTTCGTCGTTCTTCGAACGAGATGAAGGGAGTGTCTTGTCTTGACGTGTGGCAGGACTTCGCGCAATGCTCCACGAGTTGCAGCGAATGCATTTGCGGAAGCTGGTCTTTGGCAGGACGTCGTAGCACGGGCATGGGAGCGAGCAAGAGAGGCTCACCCAGAGCAATGATCTCGGTTCGTCATATATAGTCTGTCTCTTCACGAGATATTGCGGTTTGGACTCGGCCCCGGGGCGGGGCTCGTGCTCCGAAATGATGGCAGCGAAGCATGGCCTCAATTGCGCCAAGAACCGTCCTTCAAACCAGCTATCCACACAGAAAGCAGCGAGGCTGACGGCAGGGGTCGTGCTTCTGAACGGTGCAGACTGGTTTTTCACATGAAGAGAAAGATCGCATGGAGCCAGACCTCAGCTCAGGCACGCGGCCAGCCCACCCCCAATCCCGCATTCCCCATACCTTGATGTTCGTTCACGAAACTTTGTCTCCTGGCGCGGTACCTTCAGATGTGATGTTACGGTGTAAGGCCTCCCCCACCCGCCCTATCTTCCAGCCCCGCACCATTGGAGCCCCGCGCCTCCGTGATTCCCAACCCTCCACCCCCAGCTTTAGTTGATGACACGTCGCGGGATGTGTAAGGTTACAGTGTGCGCAGGGGGCTTCACACTTCGATGGACTGGCTTGAGTTCAATTACTTGGCCTTGGCTCCATCTGCTTAGGTTTCCAGAGTTCGAAGTCGTCTAGGTTCAGAGTCTGAAGAGACGAAGGACCGTGTCTAAAGCACTTCAAGCCCGAAACTCTCGATCGAACCAGGTCCGTCAGTTGGCTCTTAGTGGGCAAGGGTTCAACAGGCAGTGATGCTACAATAGCGTGTGCCCACTTCCCTTCCTCCTCCCACAGAGCATCTAAAACCCTATTCCCCGCAAGTTGCGCAATACCCTTTTTTAGAATAACATGTAGCAGCATGCCTTTGGTTTCGTTTCAGCTCGCTTTATGTCAGCGCTTGCTCGCATGCAGCAGCTTGAAAACACTATGTGGCGCCGAAGAAAGTTCTGCTCAGACACTGCTCCGACAGACTGTCACGTATCGACCTAGCCGAAGCCAGAAGTGTGCATGCAATGCTTGAATGGCTCTGGGCTCAGCCCAGCTTGTATTTTTTTGCAGGACGCATCGGCACTCCTGGAGGACCTTCCTTGGCAGCCTCCTTCATAGATGTTCGACAACTGACAGGCGTGGTGTAGCCAGGATGTGATCGTTAGCATCAGAAGTTTTCTGGGCTCGGCTGCTCACAAAGCCGAACTTAAGCGAGTCACGAGGGTCTCGTAGCAGCTGCAGCTTGGCATAGACCCGTTTATGCAGGAGACACGAGCTTGCCCCTGAGCAACCTTTGGACCTAGGGCATGTGGGGCGGGGCACGCTTCTGTCCGCAAAAACAGCTGGAATATGCCAAAGGGCCCTGTTGGTTCTCATGTCCAAGGCGCATCGGTTTACGCCTGGTCAGCAGCTGCTGGAGAAGGTGCGCGAGAAGCCCTCGCTGGCAAACTTGGCCAGCCTTGCCTGCCGGCCTGCCGTGGAGGTCATGGGCGCGAAATTCCGGGCAGCGCGCTGGCGAGAGGCTGGGAGTACAGCTTGGCTATATGATTTCCGAGAGAACTGCTGGCACCGCAGGCATGTTTCCTCGTGGCGTCCCAGAGATCAAATGACACTTTCTTCAGCCTAGAGCCAAGATGGGTTACAAACGCATGCCCATGTGGCCCATCAATATAACTGCGATGTGTACGGTTTCAAAGGGTATTTAAGTGAGATGGGGTGGCGGAGCTGGAATGAAGGCCATCCTTGAAGCCAAACTGGGAAAGGATGGGGATTCAGATGTCTTTCGCCGCAAAGAGTTTCTACATGCGTTTTGGGTGTACTGGCATTCCTGAGTTCCATCCTGAAAACTCAGCCGCTTAAGACGTAACCAGTGGCTGCCAGGTGTTGCTCTGCTCTCAAATGCTGTTGGCGCTTGTAGCCACATCCTCAGCTATCCGAGTAGCTGAGAAGCTCTTGAAAAGCTGGCGCAAATACTTGCTACCAGCTAAGTAAACAAGCATGTTTTTCGCCTTCACCATAAGCCAGATTACCGACATTCTTAACGTCACAATTGCATGTGTGTGTGTGTGTCATCCCGTCACGGTCGTCACCGTTATCCTTGCCATTATCATGTGCGTCGCCATCCTATTCATTGGCATCTTCACCACGATTAGCAGAATGGAAAGGCAAAACGATGCAGGAGTGATACCATCTGAAACTATGCATAGGTATTCAGCAAAAGTGGCAGCGCTCGTCGTGGCGGTAGTGCCAGTGGCAGTGGACTTATGGTCAAAATAGCATGACGAGCAGGAACAGCTGGCAGGAAGAGTAGTAGTCAGTAGTCATACCCGCGATGACGATGATGATAATGATGATGATCGTCATCCCCATCATAATCGTCTTCGCCGTCACGACGCTTCCACGGTTTGGGCCTTGCTGCCTGTGAGCGTGGCTTGCCGTCACCATGTCTTTTTGTAGTACAAGGACCACATCGTCACAATAAATGCAGTATCACATCCTGAGAATAGCAAGCAGTAGTGATGACGATTATCTTCACCGCCACAGCGAAGGTCGGGCAGCGAGATTGCAGGAGGCATTCTACCTCTTGCAACTGATGCGACGGTGGAGCACCCAGCGCGAAGGCTTGCAATGAGTCCACACTGATTCCACCTGACAGCTAGTGATTCTAGTTCAGGCTTTTGACACAGAGTGATGCATGCCGCACCATGCAATTCAGGAGGGGATATTGGCCGACGGTGCGCACATTCAATCTCGTGCTGCTCGCTTGTGCCAGGTGCAAGAGTTCTTGCCATCTGGAATCTCCTTGGCAGAGTGTTTAGCTGCGAAATCGCAGGGCGGGCAACTTGCACCAAGCGTTAGAGGTCTTGGCAGAGATGAGGCACGGCTGCTTCCGTCTTAGTCAATGATTAGCAAAACCATGCAAGACGTGAGGTTTTCCATGCGCGACCCAGACCTCATCTCATACAGCACCTGCATATCCGCCACAGAGAAGGAGCGTGGGGTTCTAGAATCGACGCTTTGGCTTGACCAGTTGAGCTTGGTAATTGCAGGCACGGGACTGGGCCACCTCGCTCCTTCTTCTTCGGAAGATCCAGACAGCGGGGTCCGGCACCTTGCGGAGGTACATGAACATCGTGTGGTCCTCACGATTCGTAAAGGTTGAGAGAAGATGCCATCGCAGTCAGCACGGTGATAAAGATCTGCGAGAAGGCCTCTGAGAGCTTGTGCAAGGACTCGAGCTGCGAAGACTGCTCGGAAGATTCAGACAGACCTCCTGCCTCGGATGCTTACTCTGGCCCAAAGTAGATGCAAAAACAGGCTACAGGTATCATTAGTATCATGGTATCACCTTCGGCAGATGTCTACTTAATTTACAAAGCACTGTGGTCCGAGGCTTCAGCCACAACAGCAGTCGACTGCCCAGTAAACAGACTCGAAGCTGGCTGCCGTGATGCCGTTTGCGCTGGCGCCTGCTGCAAGTGCCAGCTGCGTCGCACAGCCATGGAAGTCAAGAGGGCTGGTTCAAAGGAGGTCCCCGATCGCAGTGCATGCCCGTGGGCCGACGAAGAGGCGACCGAGGAATACAGGGACATCAAGGAAGACTCCCAGCCCCCGACTCGCAGGCCGTCTCTTCGGTGAGTGCAGCGCTGGCTCTTGTAGGACCGACTTTGTAGAGACTCTGCCGGGCAGGAGAGTCTGACATTGACAAGATTTTGGCGTTGGGTCCAAATCCTGTTCTCGAGGACAGCAAGCTCAAGTCTAACTTAGGAGATGCACGAGAAGCGATGTTGCAAGTGCCTTCGGTAGAAGTAAACTTGGAGCTGAAGGAGATGATGCCGATTCTTCGGCAACACCGAGGTCCTGGAGAGATTTCACGGTAGCATTGCTTATTGCCTTTTTTCTGAGACTGGTGCCTCTTGACGGGAGGATCTTTGGAGAGGAACCCGCAATATGCGACCAACTTGCGGCGTGCTTGCATCGAAGAGTTGAAATCTAAAAAACTGGCTGCTGGAAAACCTAGACTCTCGATACTCCCCACACCCAAGGCTGAAGATACTGGTGGATGAGGGTCGCGGTCCGGTCGCCATGCTGGTCCTAAATTTCATGCGCACCAACGGCCTGAAAATCAATAAGAGCCACTGCAACGTCCTGATGAATGCCATGCAGGAGAGAAAGAATAAAGGGCTGCGGGTACTGATACTCTGTTTTTCGGTTCGGGGAAGTTCGGAGCCATGCGAGGATCCCACCTGCAAAGCAGCCGTGCGATGGTTGGCTTGGATGAGGTCAGCATCTGTACCGCCGGATACTCGCACCTACAATATTGCACTGAAGCTGAGCCGAGAGGTGCGCCAGTGGAAGATGGCGCTGCATTTTCTACAGGAAATGGGTGACAAGCACGTAGCGCCGAACCACATAACCTTGAATACAGCCATCGACACCTGCATAAGAGCTGGGGAGCTGCAAACTGGTCTTCGGCTTGTGGCATCCCTCCTCGAAAAGCGGGGGCTGGATCTGGACGATGTGACACTCGGAACTCTTTTGCAAGCTTTTCAAGAAGCTGGACAGTGGGAACAAGCGCTGCTCATCTTTAGCAGTATACCGCGCATGCGCCTGCAGCAGACAGCGTTTCATTTTGCTGGAGCTATGAATTCTTGCGCAGTGTCCGGGCAGTGGGAGTGGACACTAGAACTGCTGGACCGCATGCAGCACAAGCTCGTGTCTCCGGACGAAGTGTGTTACAATACCATCCTTAGTGCATGCGAGGAAGGCGAACAGTGGGAGCTCGCGATTGAAACCTTCACTAGTATGTTTGGTCAGAAACTCATACCAAACCAGCGCAGCTTTACATCCGCGATAAGCGCCTGTGGTACATGTCAGCAGTGGGAAGCGGCACTTGCGCTCTTCCGTTTGATGCCTAACCCCAACCGTATCCATTGGAATGCAGTCATAAGCTCCTCGGCACAGTCAGCTTGGCCGAGCGCTTTTGCTCTCTTTCATCGCATGATCCGAGAGAGTGTCCCACCTGACCTGGATACGATGGGCAGTGCTATGCAGATTTACCAATCTGCTGGGCACTGGCCGGCCGCGCTGCATTTGTTTGCATCCATGACAGCTAGCGCCGACCCCGACATGCGGAGTCGCTCACGTGGATACAACTATGCACTGGATGCTCTTCATGAAGTGGACTGCGCTGCTCACCTTTGGAACCAGGCGGTGAGGGAGGCAGTGTTCCCAGGAGTTATGAAGGGAGGCCTGTGCGTTGGCCAAAGAAGACTGGAGCATGTGAAGCCTCTAAGACATCTTTGCTCTTAGCACGATGGATTGCATTATGCACAGGCGTGCATCGGCAAGCATGTACGTGTGCCGGTGCATGTGTATATATATATATATACATACATACATACATACATACATGCATGCATGCATGTCATACTGTAGTCCTGCATTCCGGTATGCACGCACACAAGCAACGCCTGTGGCTTCATGGTGCAGGTCCGAACAAGCTGGATCTGCACGGCCTTTCCTTCGGTGCAGCGAAGCTGGCAGTGAAGTGGTGGATTCATGAGGCTGCTGGATCGTTGAGTGGTATTCGTTGTTATCTTCTTGTTGTTTGCCTATTACCAGCACTCGTACTGCTGCAGATGCAGCAGCAGCCGCAGTATTGTGATGATACCACAGTACAGCGTTAACATCGATACTGCTGATAGTCAGTAAGTCTTCCGTACTACACCATACTCAGTTGCAGGCTAGACCTGAATGTCTAGACTCTCACCACGTCCTGTTCCTCCTACAGACAAGGTCGTGCCTGAGCTGCTTGATGCCGCGAGTCCACCGCCTTACTTCCTTGTCATCGTTGGCCGCCTCAAGGCCAGACAAGCATTAAAAAGAAGGAATGCAGCAATGACTATGGTTGCTTCTGTACCCAGCAAAGATGCGGTGATAGGCGGTTATACAGCGGATGTTCTCAGTGCGTTCAGTCAGCCACTCCAGAGAAGATAGCCTGTGACGATGTTCTGTACAGTGCACCCGACGTGCTTGAGTTTCCTGGTAGACCTGCTTGGGGCCAGGGCCGCAGGGGCGAACCCGTCCTTCGTGGCATGGTCATCGAGTACTTGGTGCGCGCCTCAGTTGGTATTCCTCGGAAGGTTGAGAGGAATCCCTTCTTCCCGACCTCGACATCCTGTACCCCAACCCTCCCCCAGGCAGACGATGCGAAGCGTTCACCATGACTTCAATAAGTCATGAATGCCGCCACTTGCAAGCCGTCGTCAGGACAGCCTGGGCCTGGCCTGGAAGCAGTCTAAAACGAGCAAGCTCGCAGACTGGGACGACTCGCAGGACGGGATCGGGGAGGGAGGGAGGGTTGCAATGTACGACGTTGTGTCTTCGGCTAGAAGTATTGTCGGCTTGTGGGCATGGTGTAAGATCGAGAAAGTATTGCCAGCACGGACAGAAAGGCATTAGCTCGGAAATGGTCCCTCCAAGAAGTGTCAGAGCAGCAGTTGAGCCACTCAGCCAATATTATTCAACAAAGCTTATCAGCACATACGGAAGCCGGCACAGTAGAGCCCACCTGTGCCGCTGTTGCAGCTTGGTGCCATCGTTGTCGACAAGAACGGGCTGATGGCACAGCGGCTGCGACTGAGGAGGACACGAACAAGCGATTCTCGGTAAGGCTTTGCATTGCTCCCAGCAGAAACGCCCAGAACTTGTGGCATTAGGCAAGCCCGTCCTTCTGCCAATGTACACCTGATCTCCGTGGCAAACCCGCAAGAACGAGAATAGCATACGGAAGACGCACCAAGATGCATCTTCGCCCTCTGTCATGCTTGTCTGCCAGCGGGCAGCGCATGAACCTCCTTCAACGGCCAAAGGCATATCACGGAGGAAGCAGCGGTCTGCGGACAACGACATACATCTGCGCTTTGCGTGGCATCCTGATCCTCCAGCATGGGCAGCCGGGATGCTACCACAACTCCAGATTGGAAAGTACGCGAAGATCTGCCAGCACGGCGATTTGCCGCAGCTCGAAGCAGAGCTGGCAATGAAGTCGTGCAGACGAAAGTCGAGCTCCTTGCAAACAGGATGCCATGGCAGAGCTTCGTTGCGTCATGCATCATGTCAGCATATGCCGGTACATGCCAGTATGTTCTGTATGGAACTGTGCAGGGCCTGGAATGGGAGCATCCCCTGCAGCTGCTCACACAAATGTATGGCTCGAGTCTTCGGCCTGAGCCCTAAAGGCTGCAGCGCAGTTCAGATAGCTCATTCTGTTCCGTGACTCCGTGACGAGGCCGGACACCGTGGCAGTCAGCTCTGTGCTGCGCACGTTGCAAGAGGCAGGACTAGGCGAGAAGATTGGCCGCAGCAACACCTCGAAGTGCACTGCAGGGCATGCGGTGGAGGGACAATTGCCACATGCTGCACAACATGAAACAGCCGCGGGGCATGCGTTGGGAACGACTCAGCTTGGCGGGAGCTCGCATAACTCGCTTGAGGCGAGCTTTTCGGGATGACATCAAGGCTCACAACTCGGCAGCATCGGCCCTGGAGAAGGCGCCCTTCTCTCGTCTCTGGACTTTCGAGAAAGCAGACTGAATGCCGAAAGGTGAGCAAGTGGGAAGGAGCGTTGCCTCCTCAGCTTTGAGATTCGATTTTGGCGTTTGGGAGAGTCGCGGCCGTGGACCGAGGCTTAACGCTGTCGAGTACTGCAGCACTCGCGGGCATGAGACCAAGTACCGAACGCCAATGTGGGATCGGCTGTTCCGAAGCAAAGCCTAGCAGAGCAAGGCTGCAAAAGGACGAGGCTTCCTTTGGAGTCATGCTGGGCGCCTGTGCGCAGGGTGGAAGTCGGCAGCTTGGTCAAGAGACGACGAAGTCCCTGTAGCTGCTCCTTGATCTCAGGTTTTCGCCTCGCGGTGTCTGGGCTTCGAGACCTCGTTCGAGGAGGATTCAGGTCCCCTCGAGTGCGAGCCGCTGGGTGGCTATCTTTTGGTTGTCGCAGCAGGGCCACGCCGCAATTTCTGGGCATGGCCTTGGAGGTAGGGATCATAGCACAGCCCCCCCCCCCCCCCCCCNNGCCCCCCCCCCCCCCGTCAATACAACGTTTGGGGGCCAAAGCAAGGCCGGGCGGGAAGAGCCATCCATGGCGCCTGTGGTCGCGGCTTTGCCGCTGCACTCAGAGTCTGGTACCGCGTGTCCGCCGCTTGGAGTCCAAAGACTCAAAGGGCTTTCGGCTTTCGGCCAGGCTGGGAGAGCTCAAGGAGCGGATGGCGAAATGGCTTCATCCACCCTCCCGGAGTTCTGACGAGGTGCTGGGCTGGGCCTGTGCTTTTGGGCACTCCAATGCCCTTTACTGTTGAGTGTTCAGGCCATGCTTGGCATTCGCGAGTCCTCCGCGGCTGTCGAGGCAGCTGTCGCCGCCTTTTCGTAGATAGCTTACACTTTCAGCAAGACTCAAGACAGACGTGGCAAGATCATCGGGATGTGCCAAGTCAAGAGATTCACCACAGCGACCTGGTGCAGATGCTGCACCAGTACGATGTCCTGGAAGGGCAAACCTACACAGCTGCCCCCTGAGGGCCGCAGAAGCGATCAGAGGGACAGAGTGCATACAGAGTGCACATCAAATCACCTCTTACGAGGCCTTTCACAAGCGAGCTTGCCGGCCCAGCTCTTGGAGTCTTGATCTGGCTTAGAAAGCTGCTCTCTGCTTGGAGAAATGGAGGCCACTCCTTGCTGCGTTGAGTCTCCCAGAAGGGAGCGACAGTGAGCTGCTGAGATTGACTGAGTCTGCAGCTTTGCATCATCCACCTCCCTTCCCCTCCCTGACGGCTGTTGAGTTGAGGTTGCTCGGATTGGTGCGGGCTCCAAGCGCTGACGGTCGGCTGGGACCTGACACAGTGATTGGATTTGAAGGTTGGCCGCCGTCGGCAGCCTCGGGCTACCCTTCACGTGGGATGCCTTGGCTGTGATCCAGGCATCCGCCGCATCCGTCGGCCGGGAAAAGGAGAGTTTGTCATGGCTAGAACTTCTGGGCTCTACCCAGGTGTTCCCTGCCGCGACGCCCTGGTCTCCTGTAGCTCGCACCTGCAAAGAGCTCAAGAATCTGCCTCTTTCCGGCCGAACTGCGTGGGTGCTGTAGCTGTCCAACATCCGGCTGGCGGTGTGAGGTTCCCGGCGCATGTTTCAGAGGCTCGATGCACCCGACAGGCACACGGTGCATCCCTAAGCTGCAAGAGATGCTGAGCATGGACCACCCAAACAAGGATGACTTTAATAACTGAGCAGAGACACACGGGAACGCAATCTATTGTCATGCCTGCGGATTCCCAGATTGCGTTCAGGCTTGGTGCTTCGTCGGAAACTGTAACTGCATGGACGACGTACCTTTTCCTGTGTGGGACCAAGGGGCAAGTCCACAAGCGGCGCCCAATATGCCCTTTGTTTTCACATGGTAAGATTTGCTGGATGCCTGCCAGGCCTGTGGACCACTGTGCGAAGCAAGGTTCGGTGCTGTTGGTGGCAGCGTTCTTTCCACTGAGTTCATGGTGAGGCTACGGTTTCGATTCATCTTCAAGGCACCTTTGGAGGAAGTTTCCTGAAAACGCTCTAACGCTTGGCTTGTGCCCGCATTGACCTGACATGACTTTGCATCGGCTTGCGAGACCGTGGCCAACTTGTGGTGAGTTTCTCAGACAAATGATTTGGTGTCCTACCTTTCTTGTCACTAGTGTTTCGAGAGCTCATAAGCCAGATGCTTCGCACCACTTCAGCGTCAATCGATCCAATTAGCAAGAACATGGAGTGCTGAATGTTTCACCAGAGCATGATTCGTTCCAGGGCGACGTGACTCTGCAGTTCCAGTTCCTTCAAAATCCGCGCAAGCCGCGCTTTTGGTGTTTGAAATGCAGACAGAGACAGGTCTTTCCCAGGCTTTGCAGCACTCTTGGGAGGCGCCTTGGTTGCAGTGGGATCCGGCAGGCAGAGGCTAGCGAGCATCTCATGAGTAGAGATTCCATCGGGTCCCAGGTCTCAGAGAGCTATGACTGGAAACAGGAGACGACTGGCAACTATCACGTGGAGGGCAGGCTGATGGTCGGACCCTACAGGGACATCCGGGAGAAACTGGACTTCGACCACCACGGCTGCTATAACGTGAGGCGCCAGCAGCTCCAAGATGAGATCATCAGCAAATTTGTTGGAAGCGGTAAGCGAAACCCATACCCGTGGATAGTCTTCACAGCTGGGTCTTTCTTCGCCGGGAAATCACGGGTGGCGTCTTGGATGCTTGAACAGGGCTACCTACCCTTCGATGATGTGGTGCGAACAGATCCAGATCTCATAAGAACAGAGCTCCCCGAGTGGTCAGGCTATCTCTCCCGAGACGGCCCGGAAGCTGCCGCTATGACACAGAGGGAAGCAGGGACCTGTGCTCTTATTGCACAGTGGGAAGCCATGCGTCAAGGTCGACATATACTGGTGGATGGCTCCTTGCGGATGCTTGGCTCGGGTAAACTCTAAACGGCTCAGAGCAAACAGGCTAATATAGACCCAATAGAGAGGTCTGGCAGAGTTCCAATCCGAGAAACTCATTGGCACCGAGGAATGTCAGCCGCCAGCAGTCGTTTTTTGCAGAGATTCGTGAAGCCTATCCCGAATACCGAATTGCAATCATTCATGTCTTTGCAAGTTGGGATGCGCTGCAGAAGAGGTCGACGGTTGCACGCGAGGGCGGACGTGTCACCAGCCCAAAGGCTTTGCGCACGTCCTTCGACGCCGTGAAAAGCTCCGTGTCTGAACTTGAATCACTTGCTGATTTGACCATGCACATCAACAACGATGGCTTCCCACCACAGCTGCTGTACATGACCTTCGGGCAGAAGTGCAGGAAGGTTCGGAAGTGGAACGAAGTTCGCACTGCTTTCCTGCAGATTCCGGGACTCAAGGTACCTTCCTTGCGCTCGTTGTTGCTGCTTATCATGATCTCTGGACTCGCATGCCTTTTGCTTCCCTGGGACCATCGCCTTGGCAGCTGAGAAGCAGTGTGCTATTTTCCGTTAGTTCGGCTTAGACAGCCCGAGATTTATCCAAGCGAATCGTGCTAGCAGCTGGCAACGGATGATGGGAGTCTTGCATGCAAGCGAAATCACATCATCATTTTGTGCTTTCCCATCATCCAAGTGATTCTGACCAAAGCTTTTCGACAGACCGGAGTCAAAATCTCTTTGATGATGTGCGAATGCATGTACACGTGTGCATACGAACTGTGCAGGTCTCGAAGCTTCCTCTGTGGCTCTGAAGAGCTCAATGGCTCTTTCCAGGCGGACTTCCTGTGTCAGCCTGAAAGCTGCCATGTGCCACAGTTCTCCATGACAGGAAGGGAAGGAGTCTTTCCTGCAGCCAATATTCTTCACTCATGACAGAGCAGACCGGTCCTTAGCTGTTTTTTTCACTTGCGCTCCCCATTCTTCTATTGCTGGCGCGAAATCGTTAAAGTGAATGCCTATGGACCAAGGCACATGCCGAACGGCAAGCCTTGTTGCGCCTCGTGCGGCAGATTCTTCAAGAATCTGGCAAGAAAAGCTCCCAGTCCTGTTCGAATACACGACACATATCTTGAACAGGTTGATCAGCAATCATAATTCTTGATGGTGGTAGACCTTGTTTAACAGATTTTGCCTTTCACGATGGATAAACTAGGGATAATCTAGTAACGTCAAGGAGAAATTTATGAATTCCCTGTGATACATGGTATTTAAATTAAACTAAAACTAGCTCAAAAGATATTATTCTTCTGAGATAGACGATAAGAGATATCTATTGAATTTTCTATTAATCTTGAATACAGGCTTATTTTTCTACGGTACTAAAGAAATGCTTCTAAGAAATGTTGCTAGATAATTTATTCATTCTCCTATTTATAACTGAATTATTATTTTTATTTCTTATTTTTTATTAATTACTAAATATATTATTATTGAGGGATAGATTTTTAGATAGAATTTTGGAATGATATTCTTGAAATTATAGTTTAATTTGATTTCGGAATAAAAGAAAATAATTATTTGAATGAATAGAATTTCTTCGAAATATATTTTGATATTGTGATTTATGCTATTAATTTGGATTATATTAAAATATTTTTAATATTATTCGAAATAATAATAATGAATTTCTTAAAATTAGGAATATATAAAAATATATTTGGAAATATAATCGATAATAATAATTAATATAAAGGTTT